CGGATGTCTCGACGTGCCTGTGTCGGTGTTACGGCTACCCCTTTCCCCTAAGTGATTCCACCCCACCCCCCGGCCACGTGGTTCACTTTTATCATGATTTAAGCTCCTTTCCTCCTCCTCATTATTTTAATGCAAAGGCCTAAGTAAACGGTCACATAGGACTTCGGTAAAGCAAACCCAGCTTTAAAGAAACATTGCTATGAAGTAGCGATATTATTGCTAAAGCTTCTCGGAATTTGGGATCCTGCAATTCTCGTGTTTGAAGTGGTAATTAGACGTGTTTCCACCAAGCAGAGTGCGGGTGAGAAAGATTGGGTGTGCTCGTTAGTCCTCGGGTGATAAAGATGTGTGGCTACTCGTGCTTGATGGACGACCGTGTTGCATCTGCAAAATTGAAGGCGCGGTGGCGCGAGGCGTGCCAACCTAACATAACATACAAGAGGAGCAAGGGAAAGAAACGCGTGTTGGGGCCGGCGCAGAGATACAACTATTCGTGTTTGATGGACGACCGTAATGCGTCTGCAAAATTGAAGGCGCGATGGTGCGAGGCGTGTCAATCTAACAAAACATAGAAATTTGAAACTTTAGACAACCGTATCTAACTATTTTTATACCCAACCGCTGCGATGGAAGGGATACTTTTTCTCAATTAATTGCTATCAGATCTCTACTTTAGAAAACCCCGTAATACTGAACTTACTTGCTTCCATTCATACGTCGCGTCAATAATTAATTTAGTTTCTGTGCCTGTAAAATTCTGATGTTAATTGAATCTTTAGAATGAATTTGTATTAATAATATTTTCAAATTCTTTAGATTTCAGATAGTAACTGAGGCCGTAAATAAATAGGGTATACCATCTATTTACAGAGAAAAAATTCAAAACTTAATCTCCCCCCCCCCCCAATAAAAAATAGATTTTTTTGGAAGACGAATTTTATGTGTGTATGTATGAGATTAACTTTAATAGTGACATGTTTCTACATTTATGCGTTGATTTCTGACAACTGAAATATTTCTGACGCGTTCGACCACGATGATTTTCAACGCGTTCGGCTCGGCCGACTGGACCAACACTCACATGCGGCCTTTCTCGTAAAATGGCTCAACTCTCTTTCGGGTTGGACTGTCGATTACTTCGATAGAAATACAAGATAGGACTGATCTCAGAATGCAGTATCGCTTCTTCGGCAGCGGAAAAAGGAAATATGGATTGCTAGAAATGTATTGCATTCACGGAATACCTAATATCGGAGTGATGAGAGGGTCGCAGTACTCGGCGATTCGACCAAGACACGACGCGTCGAAATGTAATTCATTCCATCTCAGTAATTTCTGCGAGATGACTCGCGCACAATTTCTTTGTCCACCCCTTTTTCCGCGTTCTATTACGCATTGGGAGGAGGAAGAAATTTTATACCCTCCTTTCGCCAGTGGCGTGGCGTGCCTTGCGATATATCGATTGATCTGCTCTTTGAATCTATGGCAAAGGGTCGATAGACAAGGTGTTCGCAATAATCGATTCTTTATCACAGCTTCGAATGGGGAAATATTGATAATCGATCATTCACGACTCATTTCCTAACATTCAAATCATGCGTCCAGGCTCCGATGAAAGGGTTTCCGTCGCTTCGTAATCCGGAGGACACATACTGCCTGGCTAAGGAAAAACGTCGTGTGAACATTCGAGAGGTGCCAAATTTCTCAGAGTAAAACATGTATTTTTAAGGAAAGTTACGCATATTTTTCTTTGAAATTTTCAGATATTTTAGATCAAATTCGCGAATAAAATTGTCTGAAAAATTGAAGAAAACTATTCACAATTTTCTCAGTAAATTCATTTTATATTGAAGGAAATAAAACAACGTCTGAAGGTTCATACGTCGCTCTTACTTAACACTGCAGAAAAGTGGAATGTTGCGTGTAAGATTGGGGAGTAATGGTTCTCTTACAATTGATTCGACATTTTTTCCATCGAGATTAAACGGACACTGAAGGCGTTTGAATTGTCATGTTGCCTCGTAAATAAAAATTAGTCGATAATATTTCATCCACAGCCGGAGAAACCACAAAACACAATAAAATACTTCTCTTATTTTCCTTTTTGTCAGCAATCAAGTGGTGATAACCTATTTACTTTCTTTTCCTCTTTTCTGTACTTTTTTACCGTCCTGATTCAGCCAGCGGCTTTACCTATTTGTTTGGTTCATAATCTAAGGATCCAGTGATCTTCAAAGTAGGAAAGTCTACTCCCCCCTAATTTACATTAGGAAAAAACAGAATGAATTTTTGAAGCTTTGAGCGTTTGAAAACAACTTTTTAATTCGAAAATAATTATCCAGTAGGAATTTAAAGCGCAGTAACATTATAAAACAAACGTTTTTTTATTTCATCAGTTAAATTTGAACTTCCCTGTTTTTGAGGTGAAAACCATTTAATCATACATTTCGAAATTCGGCGCCAAAGACTTAACACTTCCGATTCATAAGATTTCAATTTATGCGCTGACATTCTTGTTGCATTTTATAAGTGTAATTACAACAAGTTGTACTGAGAGAGTCACAAGATGAAGCTTTATTTTGAGCTTGATTGTTGTTTTATAAAAACCGCAAGCTTTGCTGCTTGGAATTTTGATCTTACCTGATCGATCTTATTCAATTCGAAGTATTTAAAAAAAAAAAAAAAAAAAAAAAAAAAAAAAAAAAAAAAACAGGGCAGAATTTTGGAGTGTCCTCTACATTACTGAAAAAATATCTTAATTTTGCCGTCAAGAAGTATTTTTTCTTACATCAAGAATTTTGCTGCTTAATATAAACTCATTTTTAGCTTAATCCAAGCATTATTTTTCTTATCAAGAAAAATTCAGCTTAAATCAAGCTTAAAAAAATTATTAGTGACAAATTCAAGAATCTTCGTGATTGAGCCAAGCACATTTTTTTCAGTGAATATCTCTCCCTCTCATCTGAACACAGTAGAGAACGAACTGGAAGAGATCTCCCCCTCTCTGTAATCTTTCGAGGGTTTTTCTTAAAGTTAAGTTTCCCCTTGTGTTTTCGCTCATGTGTTTGAACGGCGTGCGTAATCTGATTTAATCTTCAGCTAACTTTCGAGGAACAAGAGCATGTAAATGCATTTTTTCGGGAGCTCCTCGGGAAAAGTCAGGATCAGCAACAAATAGGTACAGACAAACCGAAAACTTTTTTCCAGACATTTCATAACTCTTGTTCTTATCGGAAAGTTTTCGGCGTCAAAACTCACTGGCTATTGATTCTTCTTCGTAGCGGACTATTTATGGCTTTAACTACACTAATGACAGTAAATCTTCCAGATTCGAGATAAGTGAGTGCTGCATGGTTGCCAATTGGATAATCAAACTCATTATTAGGAATAGTGTGTATATCGTGATCGTCTATATTATCCTTCAAAGCGATATGTCGTAGAAGTATTTGAATTTTGCCAAGTTTGCTCCTATAAAATATTGATTTTTGATGAAGGACTCAAGTATTTTTCCTTGAAACTTTTGGAGACCCTAGGAAAAATTGCGACGCAAAAAAGAAGGCGCCACGGCTGCGGGTGTCGCAAGCTACTCAGCGCGGCGGGCGCACGCTCACACTAGTCACCCGTATTATACACTTTGAAATAATANGGGGGGGGGGGGGGTTCAGAACGGTCCTTTGCCCCTAATGCCCTTGATTTTATGCACCTTCCTCACAAGAACGGAACATCTCACCTGTGAAGTCGCGGATCGCCACACGGATTGATACTTTCGCAAGAAAGCCCTAGGCGCCTTCAATTCTCCGCTTATGCATCCCGGACATCCTCTGAGCTCGAATAGTTGCATTAAGGCGTTGGCACCATCCGTCCGTCCGTCTCTAGCGTTTGCTGACTAAACTTTTGGACGGTGAAACCGCATAACGAAACCGGTGAACCTTACCTAGCCTAACGCTGCTTAAAATTCCCGTCATAATTTATACTTTTTAAATAGATTAACACTCATCACTACTTTTTAAAAACTTCCCAAATTTTCGTTCTAGGCGTGGAGGATATTCTGAGAAAATTTTCAAGCAATAATGTTTCTCAGTTTTCCTTTGATGTAATAAATAGGAGAGGGGTTTTTGAGACACCGCAAACGAAGTACTCATTTACGCAATTTCTTTGTGGTGTTGCTGAATGTACCATTGCCATTACTTCAGAGCAATAAAACGTTGGTGTTTGATGAAATCTCATTTACATCGATTATGAACGAATTACTGATCAATTTTCTGAATTTTACAGAAACATGTGGGAAACCATTGTAGGGTACTGGAATGACAAGCAGTCAATATGTGGTGATCAATAATTTATTGTACATATTGTCCACAAAAAAATGAGTTACCTATTAATTATCTCGATAAGTAAATAGATACTTCTAAGACATTTAAAAATGTTTATTTACAACTCTACCTAAGTTTACTATCTGTAATACGTATAATTAAGTATTGATATTAAATTTTTTACATTCAATTTATCACTTAAGTGAACTTTAACCTATATTGCACCAATTCATCGTAAGGAAAGAAACTTTAGGTCAACATTTTGCAATACTTAGAATATCTGGTAACAATGGGAAAGGATTTTTCTCAATTAATTCATTACGTGATAGTATATCAAATATATATAAAGGAACAAAAAAGGAACAACGATAAAAAATGAGATCAATAAAACACAATAGACCAAAAAATAACAAAAAAAGATATGGCTGGAAGGAAATGGTTTATGATGCTTTCATTTGCACGTAAAACATTTCTATCGCCAAAATTGTAATTCACGTACTCATTAGGTTCGCCGTTAACTTATACCAAACACATATTCACTTATTCTTGACGATGGCTTAAAGGTTGGCAAACAGTATTGAAAGACAGTGAGAAGAAAATAATAAGAGGAATGGATTAACGAAAAAACCAACAAAAATTGCAATAACGACTATGCACAATGCATATTATCATAATACATGATTTATCTTTCGATTCTTCCGTAACAAAGTAATTAATTTTATTGTTTACATATACGCTCTGCTGAGTTAATAGCACGCTATTTTTTTAAAATGAAATATTTTCTTATCGGTTTATTGACAATTGTGGATTTCGGTAAAACGTTCAGCCAGAACTAGATTTAATTTACAATTATGACTAGATGATTATGAATATAGACAAAGGTCAATACGAAATTCTATACTGTACTTCCGGTAACTTTATCAAAGAAAAGTGACTAGATTTAGTAGGAAGAAACCAAGCATAGTTTTTTTTTGGTCTTTTGAAGCCGCTCGATGGATAGCAGTAGGCATTTTTTACAAAAGATCTTAGCCATAATTCTAATGATCCAAACCTTAGACCTCAACTTCGGCTGCTCTTTTCAAAATATTTGACTCAGATTATCCTGAATATTAGAACTGGGTCAGATATTGACTGAAACAGGAGTCATATCTTTGTCATATCTACTTGTAAATATTTTTCATCCAATTTCTCAAAAAAATTGTAATAGAAATTACCGGAGGATATCTGCAACTTCCAAGAAAAAATATTCGAAGCCGTCCTCAAAAAAATTGTATTGACAGAAATGTGGAAATATTCGATTGATTTTACGGCGTTTTTTTCTTGACACGGAAGCCAGTCGATGGATAAAGTGCAAAACCGCACGTATCTCCATTGCGGTGCTTCAAAATTTCTGCTCCTATTTTATTTTTTTAAGGAGAGAACAGTCATCGGTAAGCATAGCTCGAAATTTCCACTAGACATTCAACTAATAGAGAAGAAAAATCGAAGAAGTTTTCAAGAGATTCAGTTGACTGGTTTTCCAAAGAAAAAATAAAGTATGGCAGCAAGTCTGCGATGTCGCAAATGGAAATACGCGGTTTTGCACTTTGGCCATCGTGGTGATGCCAGGTTAGTCTTTACATGGAAATTGAGATTGTGAGCAAATCTGGTGCTTTGAAATGACGTCATTCTCACTAAGAAACAGCCATCTACGTCGTCCGTTGAAGAATGAACTCATCGATGACGCTTTCGTTGGCAGCGGTCACCCATCGATTGTACTTTGATTTGACTTTCGATGGCGTATGACGTATGCATGTAGTTATCCGGCAGGATTTGGAAGCTGCTCGCGCGGGCAGCTTATCGCTTTCTTCATTTGACGTCGAACATGATGGAGGGTATCTCGCTGGTGGGCGTGGGGTACTGGCCGTGCGCCGGGCCCCCATGGGCCCCGTGACCGTTGGTCGGGGGGTGGGAGGGGGTCATTTCGCCGTTCTGTCGTCGCTCAGAGAGCTCGTTCATGTTTTGTGTTCGCACGTTTAGACCGGCCGGCTGAAACAAACGAACAAACACATGCCCATTAAAAAAGAGTCTATTTATTTGAAGGTAATTAAAGGTGTTAGTAAAATTAAATAATAGGATTACAAAACAAGGGCATTGTTTGCAATCCCTCCCTCAAAAAAAAAAAAAAAAAAAAAAAAATGAGATGAAAATATGTTGTGGGTGAATTACTTTTTTCGGGCAAGTTATTCCGGTATCGAACAGAGGCGAAGCGTGAATGATCGATTTTCGATATTTTCCCATTAGAGTTTATGGTAAAGAATCTTCCTTTAAGGTGTTCTTTTTGAACACCCAGTTTATAGATCCTTTTCCATTGGTCCTAATGGCAGCTCAATAGATACATCGCAAAGCATGCCACGCCACTGGTATCGAAGAGAGGCTAACAAGCAAACTGACCAAATTTTCGCATAGAGTTTGTGTGCTTTTTTTTACCAATAGAATGGTTACGGAACCCTGACACTGCCCCCCCCCTCATAACGCTGCGTAAAAGGGGCTGTACAGGTGGATCTCTTTAAGACTAAAGCTAGTATTGGTACTTAGTTACTGCAAAATGTAGTGTAATTGGATTACATTTTGCAATAAGGGAACCACTATCTCCTGCTTTTCCATAAAAGCATCCTTCTACTGTAGAGGGAAACTAATGGCATATTTGTTGTTTCTAAAATAAGCATAAGAAATAGTGGTTCCTTATTGCAAAATGTGGTTCAATTCATGTAGGTTCTTTCTCTGTTTTACCATTTACACAATGTGCAAAGCTGAATCACGAGAAGAACGGGAGTCAATGAAAAGAGAGAGAGGGAAGACCCTATGATTTTCGCGTGATGAAGGAGGACGAGAAGGGAGTGAATGAGAGGGGAGGTGGAGGTGAGAGAGATAGAGAGCGAGTTTAGTTTCGATAATTAACTTGATAAAGAGTCCTCCCGAGGAGGGTGAAGACGCTCAGAGCTTCATCCACCCTCACCGGTCTCCCAAGACACTCTCGTTGCCGTTATTGTCGTAAAATAAATACAAATAAAAGGAAAAGCGTCGGCTTTTGTGGTAAAAAATGTTCACGATTCTCCTTCATTTCCAAAAAGGAGGACATAAGTGACACAAGTTTAGTCGAAAGAATATAGTTCATTCCCGTTCCCCCTCCCCCTCCAAAAAAAAAAAATATATGACATTCCCTCTATTTTATGAAAGGGGATTAAGTGACCCTATCGTTCAAAAGAGAGAATTTTTGACACATGAACATTTAAGTTTTTTATTTATTAAATCTTAATTGTTCCCTTCAATAGAAAAATCAAATCTCAGGGGAGCACAGGGAATGATTGATCGGTTACGGTGCTAAATTTTAAAGCTGGTATGGGGTTTTTGACAGTTTTTACGACGAAAAGTTTAAACACAATTTTACGAAAAGTGAATGTAAGATCCACAATTAATTTTAACAAAATCGTTTTACGAGATACATACACTCTAATTTCCTTATGATAACTTTCGTTCCTCTAATTTGGCAGTTCAAGTTTCGGACAAATCAAATATAGTAAAATTGTTCATGGTCTGAAGTCGAAAATGTTTGGACGGGACATGTCGACCGTGAGAGGAGGATTTGCGTTAAAATATTGTTACACGAGTAAATTACCTTGAAAGTATAGCTAATTTTAAAAATTAATAAAAGTATAACTCGCATGTTAGCCGGTTTTCCAGTAAAAATAAATTAATTTATATAGGAAATATTCCGCATTGTTATTGCCTTTTTGAGCTGACCCCTAAATTCCTTTGAAAACCTTTTCGTGATTGTTCCCTCTCATAGCGTGCATTATATTGCTCTCCTAGACGAGGAAATCGAGCGGCGCAAAACTTTTCCGACGAATTTCCGCTCTATCTGACATCAGTGCACGACTTTCTTGCGTTGCGTAGAGGAGCTGCGTTACCAATATAACGCAAACACTCACCTGTTAGTGTTCCTTACGTTTAGGTGTAGCTCTTTATCTACGATTCGGGAACAAAGCGTTTCAACACGTGCTTTAATTCCCACTTAACTTGCGTGCAAAATAAACACTCATCCTCAGTCAAGAAAACCCACTCCGCTCCTCGTCCGTTTTCCGTTTTCCACTTCAACTCAAACGCTCAGCCGCTCTAAGGAAAAAAAGCGAATGTACCAAGGATTCTCATCGTATAACAACGTGATTTTTGGTGAGGGAAGCAGGGCATCCGCAGATTCGAATGAGCCACTGGTCAGGGTTAAGAATCACACACCCTTTTGTACGCGTTTCTTCATCAGAATTTCATGTAGTTCGATTGGTTGTACAATTCACATTATCGAAGTTCTGTTGGGATAACCTATTCAAAACTGTGAATATACCTAATTATTTTACATCCAAAAAGAGTTATAAAGGCAGTTTCCGTTATCACTGTAATACATTGAAGCACCAAATTAACCTCTTTCTCCCCTGATAAAACTTGGCAGTAGAATCTGTGTTCCAAAATACCATAGACCTGCAGCCGACTGTAAGATTTCCAATAGCTTCTATAGCCGGCAACACAATTTCTTATAGCCTTTTATAGCCGATGGCGATTAAGCAACAGCCTAACGATAAAGTGTGTGCTAAACGTTACCAATTACGGATGTTAGGACTTGGAGAGTTTTTGGACTACCGCTCTCTTTTTGGGCCGTAGTATCTTGATTTATTTTGGGAGGAAAGCTCCGTACTTTTGATGGATGCCTGTCATTCCTGATATGTTGGAGTGCCTTCAATTGCGTACGATACTGTGCAATACCTCTGGTGTGAAATAGTTGCTTCAAGCGCCGTGGTACGCTGCGGCACGGCGCAGCGGGCGGGCAGCCAGCGCGAAACGCGCATTGACGCCTACAAACCTAACAGGGATACTTCACGCATTGCGCAATGCGTGAAGTATCCCTGTTAGGTTTGTAGGCGCCAGTGCGCCGCCGCTCCGCTTTGTGTTAGGCTCTAATATTTAAGCTCGTGGAGTCAGCGTTGTTCAACTCATGACTTTGAAATGTTTCCAAACTCTGTATGGATTATTCTCATTTAATTGATGAAAACAAATATGTAGTAAAGGAAAATATAATGTGCGTTTTGTAAATATTATGGTGATTCCGTACAAACTTAAGGATTTACAAAGCACACGAATTTCTACACAATTTCTTATAGCCTTTATAGCCGATGGCGAAAAAGCAACAGCCAGGCGATAAAGTGTAAAGCCCGGCGACAGAAACTATAGCCCGGCTGTTTAATTTTTTATCGCTTCGTGTAGCCCGGCCGTAGGATTTTTTCCACTTTCTACAGCCAGCTATGTGATATTCTATCGCCTTCTTCAGTCGGCTATAAGAACTCCGATGGTATTTTGAAACGCGGCTCCTATCGCCAATTTTTACCAGTGTCTTTAGGAACAAGAATAATTTTCTTTTCTTCGTATTTTTCCTCTTCTTCTCCCCTTCATCTTCAGCCTCTTTCTTTTCTTCCATCTACCTCATTTCTTCTCAACTCCTCTTCCTCTCCCTCGTTTTCTTTCTCCTTCTCTTCTAACCTTTTCTTCTTCTCCTTCTTCCTTGTTTTTCCTCCCGACCTCTTCCCTCTCTTCTTCTTCATCATCTTCCCCTCTCTTCTCCTTATTTTCCTCTCTCTCCCTCTTCTTCTTCCTCTCTCTTTTTCTTCTTCTTCCTCTCTCTTTATCTTCTTCTTCCTCTCTCTTTATCTTCTTCTTCCTATCTCTTTTTCTTCTTCTCCCTCCCTCTTTTTCTTCCTCTTCTTCCTCTCTCTCTCCCTCTTCTTCTTCTTCTTCTTCTTTTCATATACTCTGATTTTGAATGCGTCTCTATCTAATACAGGGTGTTTCAGACCACCCGTACCAGGCCTTTTTCTCGGTTGCTTTAGGTCGTACGAAGTCGGAGACCGCGGGGATGAATAGGGAATTGACCCCAAGGAATCCGAATTTTGAGGTCCCGAAACCCCCCCACCTCCCCTTGGGGGGTAAAGGGGGGGTCACGATGCTAAAAGTCACGGTTCCCGACCGAATTGCGGATAGATCGCATCAGAATTGAAAAGCACGGAAAATTTCACTTGAAATTGACCCCTAAAAATCCAAGGTCGGACCATCCGAGGCCCAAAAATGACCCCCTAAAGAGGGGGCCAGTACCCCCCTCCATAATTTCTCTTTGGTCTCAAAATTGACGTAAATTCTCCAGAAAAAGACGGTTTCCCAGGTAATCGACCCCGAGAAATCCAAATTTCATGGTGCCGAAGCTCCTCTAGCCCCCCCTGGAGGGTAAACGGGGGGGCCCAATTTTAAAAATCGGGGCTCCTTTCCGAATCGCAAAGTGATTGCATCCAAATTGAGGAGCAGAACACATTTACATCTTAAGTGACTCCTAAGAGTTCTAATAGACCCCCTGAACGGCAGAAAGTAACTTCCTGAGGAGGGGGGCCTCGCCCCCGCCAAAAATTTCTCAGGATTCCTCTTTAGTCGCAAAATTGACGTCGATTCTCCAGAAAAAGACGGTTCCCTATGTAATCGACCCCGAGGACTCTAAATTTCATGTTCCCTGAGCTCCTCGGGGTTGATTACATAGGAAACCGTCTTTTTCTGGAGAATCGACGTCAATTTTGCGACCAAAGAGGAATCCTGAGAACTTTTTGGCGGGGGCGAGGCCCCCCTCCTCAGGAAGTTACTTTCTGCCGTTCAGGGGGTCTATTAGAACTCTTAGGAGTCACTTAAGATGTAAATGTGTTCTGCTCCTCAATTTGGATGCAATCACTTTGCGATTCGGAAAGGAGCCCCGATTTTTAAAATTGGGCCCCCCCGTTTACCCTCCAGGGGGGGGCTAGAGGAGCTTCGGCACCATGAAATTTGGATTTCTCGGGGTCGATTACCTGGGAAACCGTCTTTTTCTGGAGAATTTACGTCAATTTTGAGACCAAAGAGAAATTATGGAGGGGGGTACTGGCCCCCTCTTTAGGGGGTCATTTTTGGGCCTTGGATGGTCCGAT